CTCCGAGGCACATTTAAGGATTTGTCTCGGGAAATTAGATTCTCGCCTGACTTGCAGCCTCGTTGCATCCCCGCTTTCCGCAGATTCTTCCTCCCTCTCTCGCTTGGCAATTCTCGCACCCGCCTAACACTCGCCTTGGTTCCCTTCGGCGTATCAGCGCCTCACCGCTTTCCTCGTCGGGGAATATCTTGTCTGTCCTTAGCCCCGGGTACTTTTCGCTGGGAGTTCGCTCCTATTGTCGCGTCAGGATACCGTGGGGACCAAGAATTGGACCTTTGTCGCCGGAGCTAAGTGTTAACGCGCCCTTCGTGTCCTCTTTCCTTCAACTTTCCGAGCGGAAGCGAAAGAGGAATTAACTCTCGGGAAATTATCTTCCCGCTGGACGATGAGAACAAAGCGAACGTTTTGTTGGACACGACGCGACAAAGATGACATTTAAACCGCATTCATTTTATTTATGATAACGAATATATTTTTTTAGGTAGCCTTGAATCTATCGAATGAAAATTTTATTGAATTGTCGTTAATTATTGTCGATACATCGCTCGGTTTGTTTCAATAAAAGTAAATTGATACGTATTTAAAAAAATGATTTTTAGAAATGTATCTGTTACTATTTTTAACATAATCTTTCGGAATATTAAAATTATGAGAGAATGAACTTCTAAAAAAGATAATTAAAAGACAGATTCTAACTAATCTCTAAAATTCTATCTATAAATCCATCTAATCAATCTTTAAAATTTTATTCTCTGTAAAAACAAAACTTTCGATATTCTTCTTTGAAGATATTAAATCATTTCAGTCTAAATAAGACATCGAAAACGAAAGAGAAAAATCTATAATATTGAAAATTGAAAAGAGAAACTTAGTCATATAATTAGATTTAATCATTGGAATAACATCAAATTATAAACGCGATAACCGACATTAAAAAATAAAATCTGTTCTACAAAAAATTTCTCTTCAAATAAATATTACATTAAACAAGGTTGTTTTACAAGAGCGTTTGTAATTTTCATGTTTCTCCGTCATATTTCTCCGTGCAACTAAAGTAACTTCGCGAATAATCCGGCACTTCATAAAATGAAACTGCAGTTATAATATAAATCCAGCGAGCAACTTTGCGCTTGCTTCTACGACGACGGCGGTACCGTCATCCATCGTTTTACTCGGTAAGAAGAAATACAGAGACGGATTCTTATAATCCACGAGGATTTCTCTCGACTGGATTTGAGACGGGACCAGTCCACGTCACGTTAACGGAGCCGAACTTGGCAGCAACGCAAGACGGCCGTGGGCCCTTAAACCCGATATTCCGGGATACGTTTATCTACGACGAAGAAGAGGTAGTAGCAGGGCGAGTGATGGCGGTGGGAGAAAGGTGGCTCGCCGAGGGATCGAAACTTATCTACTTGCTCAACTAGCTCCGGTACAGCGGCACCCACCCTTATCCAGTCGTAGAAACTTCGGTCGCCCTTGAGTCGGCGGGCCAACTTCCCCGCGAGATACGCATTTCTCAAATCTGTTCTCGTCGCTGTAAACTTAATTCCGGCTGCTTCGACGCTACTATCGCGCGCGCGAGGTCTTACTATCGACGTGCGTGAAAAATGTTTCGAGAAGGGGTTTCGGATGATACACTATCACGATAAGAATCGGGAAGAATAAATAGCGTAGCTCTTGTTACGATTGTAAATGTAAAATTGTAGCCGATATCGTAGGCAATGGCGCGTTTGTAACAGACATTCGACACATTAAATTTATAAACCTTAAGATTCAAGATAGAGTGAAATTCGGTATAAAGTATTCTTTCGATTGTTTTTAATGGTTGATCGGACGGATTTATTGCACAGATATTTTACGGTATCTCATGCATAAGTTCCGAGGCGCGCGATACGAGGAAACGATAGTACGGAACAAGTTGCGGACGGCAGCGCCATTTCCGTAGTTTCCGAACGTTTTAGCGCCGCAAGGTCTCGCAATTAAAGCCTGATTTATCTTTTGTACCACTAATAGGATGTTACTTTGCCGAGCCATCCCCCGCCCACTAGTCGTTGTAGAAGGAATCTATAAAATGATGTAATTAAACCGCACAAGGACTGCAAAATGCAAGCTAAAGGCTAGTCATTAACGCAGAAAAAGGCAAACGAGTGCCTTGAAATGAAACAATGAAATCGTTCTCGATGGCTGGAAGTGAGGAGCGGTTATGGGCACCGCTGTCTTAAATTGCTATTTTATGCATACTAAGTGATGGAGCGCGTGTCCCTTTCTTCGCTCCCACCCTTTCAATAGGGACATATTTCAAGGAAGATAATCGATTTTGCCTGGCTAAGAACATGATAGTTTTCACATGATAATTTCTAAAATCGAGATAAAACATTTATTATGGTATGTCTGATCTGCTTGTAGCGACCTAATATGAGTCAGCTGCATATTTATTTTTTAATTAAATTGAAATTCTTAGAATCTATTTATGCACAAACAAGAAAGAATTTATATACGGATTAAAATGAAACACATTATTTCTAAGGAGGTATCCAGCAGTGATATAGATAGATGTAATGATTGTTACTGGATATATCAATTGTAATATTGCTAATCGTGAGATCGCAAGATGCGCGAGATTAGTAAAGCGTAATGATTTCCTGTCTGCGAAATAATTTAATTCCGATAAATATTAACATCCCCGGATGATGAGTGTCGGTCTTGACATCCTAAAGTAGATTACGCACAATATCGGACTTGTAATTACGCGACTGAGCATTGGCTGTAATCCCGAGCGTTATCCCAACGAATTACATGATGTCATTAACATCTGTTTCACGTTGAGTAACCCGATGAGGGTCATGTCAACAGTTACAAAGGACCATAAAGATCGCGTCGGGATAGTTGTTAAGGTAGGCTAAAGGGGACCGAGAGAAAGAGAGAGAGAGAGAGAGAGACGCAAAGATAAAGTGGCGGAAACTATCTTGTAGCGACGGTACGTGGCGGAGGATAGATACGACGATGTCGATGAGGATGGAGGCTCGACGATGGTGTTGCCGAAGTTCAGTAACCCCCTGATTGAACTCTGCGAGTACGTGGATACAGCGTCTACATAGATATATACTGCGCCGCAGAAGCGGCAGCGGCGCTCCGCTCAGGATCACTCCTGCATCCGCGTCAAGCCGAGGCTTTGTGGGGCCACACGGAGGCAGGCGACCGGAGATTACAATGGCATCTCCTCCAGATTAGCATATGAATTACGATCTCCCTCATCTGTTCCCCTCTGCCACCCTCGTACCTTCTTCCGCGCATCCCGGTCTAACGCTTCTCTTCGCATCTCTCTCGATCTCTTCCTTCCCGTTTCTATGTATGTCTCTCGCTCTATCTCTTTCACTCTCTCTTTCTTTATCTCTCTCGTCCGCTCGTAGATGTGTGTACCCCATTCTCTTCCTTTATCTCAGGGCGCTCCTTACTCCAGAGTCCTAGCCACCTTCGTCGAAACGAAGGACTATCCGAAGGACTTCGGAGTAGTTGCCGGTTCGCTGGGAACGCTGTCCCCGATGTGGCGAGGACTTTGCGAATGGTAACGAAGGGAGCCCCAACGGCTCTTAGCCTTCGGGAATTCCCGGACGAGCTCTACTGCTATTTACATGCATCGGAAGCGACGCCGGCAGCTTCGACGATGGCGGCTCGTAGAACGGATGGAACGGTATCGATCGGTTACGACCCACATCCAAAGATAAATACCATATTTTTAATTAAATCGCGGCTCCGATGGTACAAACTGATATTTGCCGAGGTGCTTTATAGAAATTAACGCATGGGTTGAAACGAGCGAATGAGCGAACGAACGAGTGAAAGACGAAAAAAGCGTCAGATTTTTGCAAGAGATACAATTTTATAACGTTCGCGCCGCATCGTTTGGAGAGAGAGTATTTTTTCAAATAATAACACCGACGAAATGGGATAGATCGGCGGGATTACGACGCGCGCACGGTCATACAAGTGGGAGGAAATAGGAAGCGAGCGCGTAGGTCGCACGCGCGCGCGCGCGCGATAACACGGGCGACGACTCATTAAAAACGATAGTCGATCGACAATTTGTCTCTCGATTATCTAAAGTCCCGTCATACATATATGCGGGTCCCGTTATTCTACCGTGACGCGAAATTTATGACCCGCGGCTACCGTGGCGATAAGCGAATGTCAACATGACGACCGCGTACCATCGCCAGCTATAAAATTTCACGTAATTAATAAAATTGGCTTCCGACAAAAGGGGGCCATAGTGTGTATAGGAAAGATACGGCATGAGCGCGAAGAGTCGTGCGCGACAACTCTATAAAGAGAGAGAGAGAGAGAGAGAGATAAGGAAAAAGAGAGAGAGAAAAAAAAAGAGAGAACGAGCCGATGAATATCAGTATGGCTCGATGGGTGGTACATTTTTTATTATCGAAGAGTCTATCGCGCCACCGGCACGAGCATGAATTTTATATGACAGATGTGTTATCGCGAGTCAGTATTACAGCGAATTATCTGTAGTTTATTACATAGTATACGATTGTATGCGATTGATATATAACATTGTTATAGGCACCGAGTACATACTGCGCAGAATAAAATTATTTTCCTCATAGTTATTAGAAAAAAATGTGTTTACAGTATAGAATAAAACTAATTTCTAGTTGACTCATTATAGGTAGAATTTCTGTTGGTCCATATAATATTTAATTTTTAATTACTGTTGAATTTTATATGAATTTTGAAAATGCTATGTGTAGTTTCGATTTTTTAGTGTCGCGAGTCTTTTTGCTTGTATGGTGTAGAAATGGAAATATTGTGGATAGTAAAAAATTGAAATATTATTTTGAAAGCGTTATGATTGTTTTCGATAATTGCTTAGCTAAATCTAATAATATATAGAATTTTTTAATATGAATTTTCTTCGTTATAATCTGATTAGCAATATAATTTTCCAATGTTGAGACATATATTGGATCGATGCTTGTTCTCACCTCCGCGGTTTTCACTGTCCGCTGGCTTCACTTGAATAGGACGGTTCATCTGAAACAGAAATAAAGACACGACATATTAGTCGGCGTAGCGATAAAATGGCACTGGTTTCTACAATATTTCTTATATTTACAGACAGTCACAGATTTTCTATCTTTCCCGCTTTTATTCCTTTTCGAGAGGACAAAAATGAAGTATATAAAAAATGAAAGCGAGGACGAACGGCGAAACTAGCGCGAGGGACAAAAATATACAGTTTGCCGAGAAAGCGGAAGTATCGTTATTTGTCCGACATGTATGCGCTTGTCCTTCGCGTCACTTCGGTCCCGTTCAAATACCATCAGTGGTTGCGAGAGCTTCCTCTGCCGTTGACAGTCCTAGCTGTACGCGTGGACTCGCGAGTAGAACGCGCAGGGGGACGGAAACGAAGATGGAACGAATGACAGAAGCGCGCTCAAGGAAGGATGAGGCGAAGAGGAGAGAAGCTTGGACGGCTCTCATCCTACAGTTGTGGGTTACGAAAGCACGGGACTCGCCACTCGTCCTTCCGTCACAGTCCTAGTAGAGGTCCTTTGGACCGCTGCGGATGGGTCGGGATCCCAACGAACAAATAACATTGTTTATTTCTCGGACGGGTCGCACCGCCGCTGCGCGTTCCAGTTCGCTCCTAGGGGATGAGGATGCATGATTCATGACGCGGGGGACACAGGACCGTACTTCGATCCTAGCTTCCATCCTCTTGCCTCTCACGCTCCCTCTTCTTCCATCGACCTCACTCGGTCTCGAACTCTTCGCCACAATGCGCCCATCCTCTTTCCTCCACTTATGTCACCGTTGGCGCGAATGACGTTTCCAACAGTAGCATTATCCTACTGCTGGCCTTGCAGGTCCTTTCTCTCTGACCAATTTTCCTCCGAGGATCACTAGACAGCCGCAAACGCGAGAAGGCTGCAAGACGGTTTATCAGTGACACGATTTCGCCTTTCAAATATTTGTAATGCGTGCATACGTATATTTACGATATCGTGGTGATATTAAAAAAAAATGATACACGTATATTAGAATAATTATTATTAAAGTATGTTTAAGAACGAAAGAGATTATAGTGTACTGCGTTACTATTTGCATCAATATATTTTTTTTCTAATTTTTATATAATATATTTATATCATTAGTACATTTTAATAACGAGTTGACATATAATTTTGCGTATAAGCGACCAGAATGCATAATGAAAAAGAAAAAATATGCAACAAGATATATAAACTGGGAAATGTGATTCTCTTAACGTAGATGCGTACAACTGCACATTGCGATCATCTGTCTTCTGACTTACTTCTTCTTTTTTTTTTTTTGTTGCGTGTACTTTTATAAGAATCACGGGGAAAAGATGCGTATGGACGATGGAATAGATACAACCTATCAACAATTCCGAAACTTTTTTTACACGTATGCATGCTGGGTATAAAGAAGAGTTACGTTACGGTCGGGGTCAGTGCCACGATCACGCAGACATTACACGAGGTGTATATACGTCAAACGCAAGCGAGCATGGGTGTTCCGGGTTCATGGAGTTCTCTTCTTCGAAATCGATATAGCACAATCGTATCATCGCGGTCTATACACATCGCGCTACCTCTTGTAGGAGGAAAATTTCCAACGCGTCATCGTGTTCGTGTCACGAAGGAACGGAAAAACGCGAGATTGCACGTCTCTCGAACATAGAAGCAATTAACAACGTCTCGGGGGATCAAACTCCACACTATCGATTAATCCGGCGATACGCGACTGTCAGGCGGTAATTACTCGCGATTCCGTGTGGAGAGTCGCCATTAACTCTTTAATATTTCATAGCGGCGGCTGTACGTCCGGTCGCGATTCCCGAGACCGGCATGCGCGGGGGACGACGGAAGGAGAGAAAACGGTCGTGACGACAAGCAAGAGGGGGGAAAGAGAGAAAGAGAGAGAGAGACGAAGATCGAGCTAAAGAGAGAGAAAGAGAGAGAGAGACGAAGATCGAGCTAAAGAGAGAGAAAGAGAGAGAGAGAGAGAGAGAGGGAAGGTCACTTTAAGCACTGTCCGCTGGTCAGGAAATTAAACTTTGAGTCGAGAACTGGCCATTAGGCGTTTGTTGTTGCCCTGTTGTCAGGGGTACCCGACGTCCGTATAGATACCGGAACTGAGATACGACGCTCCGTTTCTCCGCCTTGTCTCTCCGGACGAGTTTAACGTTGAATGCATCGTGTAAATGTCACTTACGACCCGAGGGATCTGTACCAGTCAATAACGATCAGGTGAGAGGGATTTCCGCTCAGACAGACCGTGCTTCGGCGGTCGGACACAACGATTACTATGGCCGACTATTAACTACCGCGCAACCAAGTTGTTACGCTCGGTGATCGTAGTTACTCAATTAAAGCGGTGAGATTACGTCAATTAGCAGTGAGCACGGTAACGCAGGCCATTATATTTTCGATAAATATATATACGTTGATCTCGTCATTTCGAAACGTATATTAAAAAGTAAACACTATATGTTTATCGAAATGTCAAATGCGAGAGGGCGGGATGGATGTTGCGAGAGTTATTAAAATTGAAAGTTGATGCTTTTTGCGTACTAATTGGCAGCGACGCTTGTTGAATACGTTGACGCGCGTTATCTCGCGCAAAGGAATTTTAGATTAAAGTTAACACGCGCAGAGAAGAACATCGCACGTGCCGCACGCATTATATGCAAAACGGACGGATAGTTCCAGGCCAGCTCATGCATAAAAGTCGTTTTGGGTTCGCGATTAACTTTGATACTTTTTGGGACGCTGCTGTAGGAAGCTAGATAATTAAGTACGTTTTCAGCGGAACGTCATTATGCTTTCGTAGAAAGAAGAAAGAAAAAGAGAAAGAGAGAGATGGAGAGAGAGGGAGAGAGAGAGAGAGAGAGAGAGAAAGACGGAGAAAAAGCCGCACCTCTATTTAACGATCGTGTTACGATCGAGCGTCGACCCTTTGGCAATTTGTGTCATCAGCCGCGTGCACTTGGAAAATCGATCCTCTTGAGAGGTAGCGCTCAAGATGGATGGTAATAAGTAAATGTGTTTGCTGAGCCCCGAGCGCGCATCACGAGCAATTAATTAAGCTCGATTATCTATGTACACTGCGAGAAAGTGCTCGCTAACGGTAGATGCTGAATGATAGCCACGCGCGTGGCAAATGCGCCGAATGTTAATGCCGCATTGTGCTCGCGGTAGAACTTTGCGTCATTAAACCAGCGACACAGAGACACTTTTCTAGTTTCAAATATTTTCTTTCGAACAATCTTTGCCCGATTTATATACGATCGAATAACGTTGAAGTATCCGATTTGGCGTTTACGCGTGATGTATTATCAATCGCGATTGAGAGATTCGAGAATTCGCGTAAAAAGATCGGGCAACTGAGAATCTTGATTTATATCTCAATTTATACTCGTTGATAAACCGAGCCTCTTCTTTCGAGATGATTACACGCGGCTTTCTAGAAAGCTAGGCAAAATCGAGATAAGGGGATGGGCGCAGGCTGATAACCGCCGAATTGAATGGTGAATGCCGTTTCGGAAATTGAATAAGCTATCGTGCCAGGCTACCGAGCTGCCGAGTGGCGCTGCCGGTATTTGACCTGCCTGCGTGCAATCAATGTACTGATTGGAGATAAGGGCTCGCCCTGTAGCCCCGGCATCCTCTCCGCCGGCATGATTTATATACGTATGGTCTTTGCCGGCGATGTATTCATTACTTGATTACCCTTGGGCAAGTTAATACCAATTGTGATCGTATAATGGGCCATAGATTTCCGTGAATCTCTTTCTTTTGAGTGAGAAATTTATCTATATTCATAATTTTTGTACTTTTTCTCTAGAAAAAAATGGCGCTTCAGTATCATCAATTATCAAGCTTAATCTTAAGTTATTTTAATTTCTTATGAAAAAGGTATCTTTCATTGTGTAAATTTTGAGATTCGCAATTGGCCCTTCGCATATTATTGCGGATGATTGCATCAACGAGCACGAAGACGTCAAAGCGTGCTGAAGATGTGGTTAGGCGGCTACAGCCTCTCTCTCTCTCTCTCTCTCTCTCTCTCTCTCTCTCGACATTTTCGTTACATAATTCAGTTATTCTAATTGCTACGGGTGCGCTCGCGAGTGTCTGGCTCGAGTTAACTTGAATAATCCTTCGCGTGGGTATCAAGCGGAGAACTGCATGCTAAACTGTGCGAAATCTGCGTTCGCGGTCGTATCCGTTAATACGGCTAATTTGTCGACTGCTTCGGAGCGAATGCCAGCTCTCTGTGTGTTCGCATCGGATGCTGCGCGGGAGATACCAAAGTGAAGGGAACGCGGAAAGAGGATGAGCTGCCAGCAAGCAGATTACATCTAAATGGATCCCAGTCGAGATCTAATTGGGAAATTAATTGCAACCCGTAATTAATTCCGTTGCTTCGACAATTGATATTTTGACGTTCCGTTTGTGTGTTGCTGGCCCTTTGAAAGAGCCCGTGTATTTCTTTGAATCGGCCTAGAATCGACTGATCGCGAGAGCCATTCCATTGTTCGACTCGTACTGTGTTTCGTCCAAATCCCAAGCGAATTTGTCGGCAGTATCGCGCGCGCTTAACGCGTTATCCGCGTCATTTTTTGACACGGTTAAACAATGCGTCTCCGGCCGAGTGGTAACTCGCAATTGAAGCCCACAGATTGCGATTCACTGCAGAACCGAATAAATGCGCACCTGCATCCTCGGCACCTGCCGATTCGTCAGTTTCGTGATTATAAATAGAATCCGCGTTTTATTGTCAGGAGCAGAGTGCCGCGTGATTGAACGTCAAGCCATATAAAGGTGATGAACGTACGCGGGCCGTGTGTGTTCAAACTAACGCGGATACAATCATCTATCAGCAACAGAATCGAAATATTCAATTGATAAGCTTATTGAAAATAGCTCCCTAAAAAACATACGTACTTATAGATCTCGAAATTCAAATTGAAATAATTTAAAACCGAATAATATAAGATTATATATTTAAAAATAATTAAACTTTAATGAAAAATTACTAACAATAAGATATTTTCTGAACTCGGAATTCTTGACAGATTGCATGACAAATAAAAAGTGAAATTATAATAAATAATAAAATAATGATAAATTAAAGAATGTTTCTCGTTATATAAAGCAAAATTCCACATTTTTCCATTTACGACAAATTTTTTATAAATATGTTTTATATAATAATGAGATAAACTCAAGAGAAACAGCAAATTGTAAAGAATAATTCTTTTTTACAATCACAAATAATTGAAGTGATATTTCTATTGTATATCTAAATCGTATTTGAATGGTATTCTATTCGCAAAAATTAGTATTCAATTTCTAAAAAAAAAAAAAAAAACAAAAAAATAAAAAACACTTTGATCAAAATTTTGCATATGCAATATTGCTACGTACCGATATCTTTACACGCAAATTGTTTCGCTAAAGGAACACAAAATAACTTTTGACTCTAACGGGCATACATGTAACATTTTCATTTTGGACTTTGAGCGCGGATGATCGCGTTTGCGCCGTGTTCGTTAAATAAAAACGCAAGTTTAGAAAACCAATTCCACGGCAGTTATGTCGGTGTGTGTTTTTCCGGGACATCGCGCTAAAATTCAGATGCGCAAGTAGAAAAATCGAACGATTGGCGTATCGCTATCCTATATCTCTTTACTGCGTGTTGCTGGGTTACGATACGATGCGGCAAAGCAACCTATTCTCTCGAAACGGGAATTTGCGCTTTTTGCCCGTTTCGTAACCATACTCTGATGTAGGGGTTCGGTCGGCGAATTTTTGTACACGCTCCTACCTGTACGAGGTATAAAGCATTCGCTTTCCCGCCTATTCAATTTCTCTTTTTTTTTTTATTCGGCTCCATCAGTTTTTTTCCCTAACGCTCTACAAATATTTGAGCGTCGACTACTATAGCTCCCCTCTAACCCCCTCAATCGAAAGAGCATTCGAGTCGAGTGAGCTTTCGCGCCCCTCTTTGGGCCAATCGCCGTTCGTCGATTGTAATCTAAGCCAATGCTTCGGCGCGCATTAAATGTCAAACGTTATACGCCTCTCTATTTCACGGTTCTGCGGTAGCGAGCCGGGGCGTTGGATGTGGCAGTCGGCTCGACAAACGTTCGGAAAATCGCGAGGCGGGATGCGATTGCCTCGACGGTTTACAGCGCTCTTTGACGCGGTTCCGTTGTCACGTACCGCCATTTCGAGCTTCGATCGCCGCCCATTTGGCGGGTTACAATCGTAACAGCATCGAAAACTTCATTGCTTCTACATGATCTGTTTCGGTAAATTGCCCCTTCGTGCATAAGAAATCGACGTATTGTACGAATAGCGTCAAAAAGCGTGATTAAAAAAAAAAAGTGTCAAAATTTTCCACGAAAATTTCAGGTCAGAAAATAAGAGATCACAAAGAGTCGCGAATTTTGCGCAGAAGCTAACAATGAACATGACGAAATCTTTCAACGTCGCTGCTTTAGATTACATTCGACCGATGTTGAAATTCCAATTTTCTCGAGATGGATGAACACATTTACCCGAATCAAATCCAGGCGCTGTAACAATTACCGCAGATAGACACGGGTAACGGATCAAATCGGTAAATTCGATGATAAATTCTTTCGCTCACTGTCCAATTGTCTCATTTGCACGCGCTATCAGGAATTTTAATCGCGCATAAAACGTGTCTAGATACTGGGTCGGGTGTCCGTATTCGTCGTCTGGTACGAGACGGTTTATTATCGGAGATGGGCTAGCATCCGGATTTAGGATTGATGTGCCGTGGTGGCCATGTGGCGGGCCGCATTATCAACGACGTTATGCGTCGGCACATTCACGTGTGCTGTCGCATTAATTGATGCATGTCTCCGTGTAAATACCCAGTCCGGACGTCTCGTGAGAACTCGTCACGTGCCTCAGCGTACAACGAAGTTTCCGATACAATTGCGTAATTTCCGATACAATTTACGTTTTCGCGTTCGTGTATTTATATGTATATATCATGATACGCGATGTGTGCGAGAAGTGATGAAATCTCCGATCGTGAATAAACGAAACGCCGGAGCCTGAAAAATTCATCCGCGATTGCCTGACGAATCACTATTCTGACAAGTGATCTTCGTTTCTTCCGAATCTCATTTAAACCGCGAATAGTCTATGAAATATAATCGCGATGCTTCTTTTATAATGCAGAAATTAATCTCATCTCTTTATGTTTGCACGCGAAATATATTTCATGTATCAGGAAATCACTTTATTTAATGAACACGGTCCATTAAATTCATTCCTCAGAAACGCAAGGAGGATCGCTGGATTCTTCGAAAGCATGCTTGTCGTAATATTCAAAATGACTCACGTGCTGTAAAATAAAAAGTTCGCGCGATTAATTAGACTTAAACGCGTGGCGATTCCCTCTCTCAAACCGCTGAATGACCAAACGCAGACACGCCCGCGGCAGCGAAACAGCTGCTCTTACATCTTAGTGTGCGTGCACGCGAATCGCGCGTATGTCGTGTTCGCGTGTTGCTGCTAACGTATGCAAAGGGACGGCGAAGAGGAGAACCGCAGGGGGACCGGCGCGACGAGGGTGTTATTGTAAACGTTACGCATGCAGAAGCTGCTGCGCGACATATGGGTAGATAGATACGCGTCCGTTATGTCCACGTCTGCGCGCGCAGGCTGTCAGAAATAGTCACGCGTAAACATACCAGCGAGGATCGTTTACGATGCAAAAGGGCCGCGATAAGGCACCAACGGGAAAAAGAGAAGGCAGGGGGCGAGGGAAAGGAATCCATGGAAATCGACAGCCGGTCGTAAACTCGCGAGAATCATATGCATTTTCACGCGTGCCCGTCAAGACGACGTCTTCCACGACGTCGTTTCTCTCCTCGGGAGAGGAGGACGTCTCGCTTTTACGATCTCGCCGTGCAGCATTTCCGCATACATCGAGTCGTGTACGTCGAAAGCGGCTACGTGACTTGAATCCTGATGCGCGCATCACAGATGCCCGCACGGGGGCTCGGGAAGAAATCCGACATCCGCGGGGCCTAATAATTCCATCTCGTGATCCGCGTCGATCGATCGATTCATCGTTCAGAGGATAGCGGGCGTTTTCTCTGCGATGCGTGATGTGACAAATGTTTAATGTGCACACACACACACACATCTTCGTCCGAATGACACGTGGGCCAGAGATGCCTTCTTCCTCCTTCATTAGGAGAGAGGAGGAGTAGTGTGGTCGGAGAAATTTAAAACTATTCGCGCAAGCGCACTCACCATTTGCAGGTCGTTCCGACGCGACGATACCACTTCCAGGATATGAACCATTGGTGAACAATCAAAAGCGGATGATCGTGGTACTGGCGGGAACCCGCGAACTTTTCCGACGAAACTTTCACTCGCCTTCGCGAACGCACAATGAGGTCGATCGTAATCGACGCGCGTCACGAGTTATCACAGCGCGAAATGAAGAATTTGCGCGAAATCGTCGATGTATCACGTTGTTTCGCGCCACGTGAAGGATCCGGATCGGTATTGTGATGAATCGCGTTATTATCCAGTTCGGCACACCGGATAAGTTCTTAAAGGATATCTATAAGTTTTCTCGTCGTTTATCTCTTCTTCTTTTTCTTTCCATTGAGCGCAAGCGATAGCTTTGGATGCCTTGCTGATACGTAAATACGTAAGTACGCGGGATTCGGCCACGCGTGTGCGTGCAGAGAGAAAAGCACGAGCGAGCGCGACGATGAGAGCGAAAGGGATAGAGAGGACAAGAGCTATAGATAAAACCCCGAACGCAGCTCGCCCGCGACTGATTCCCCAGGCCTACACGCACCCTCTAGTTTTCTCCCTTTCATCCCCCACTACCCACCCTCTCGACCACTATCCCCTTCCCCCTCCTCCTCCTCTTCCTCCTCCTCCACCTCCGTCCTCGTCTGTCCCCGCTACCTTCTCCCGCCAACCTCCCTGCTCCTCTTACCCTTCGTAAGTCTCCCTCTTATCCCCTACGTGCGTCCCCCTCTCCGAACGCTACGCACCCTTTGCGAGAAAGCCCACGCACCCTCGAAGCAGCCGATATACGCTTCTCTCTTTCTTTCTCTCTTTATATTTGCCTCTTTATCTCTCCTCTGCCTTACGCATTTCCTCGTCGATCTCTTTTGGCTCTCCGCGCCTTTCGTGGTATCGTAGTCTTTTTCTCGGCGTCCTTCTCTATCCCTCTATATCGGCGGAACCCCATAACATTCGGCCAATCAAACGAGCGTGCGGGCGTTTTTAGGATCCCCGTGCTTGTAGTCCCTGAAGGAAAAAAAAGAAAAGAAAACCAGAACACGAGAGGAGAGAAGCTGGGGCTTCGGAACTAAGGATAGGGATTCTATCCTGGAAAGGATGTGTATATGTGTGTATACACTTACGTTTCACGCATCCTTGGAAAGGCAGTAGGCGGGGATCTGTTCTAGGTCGAAGCCGTAATCGGTAAACGTTCTCCGAGACTTAGGTCTGTTTCACGAGATGAGATGAAGCGATATCTATTAACGTAGAATACACGACATCTTGTATTTTTTTTTTTTTTTTTCGTATATGTCGAACACAGCAAATTATATTAGAAAAACTTAAGGACGAATAACAAAATTACAACTCGCATATCGCGATTTTATTTGTACGATATTACGCGGTGTTCCTCACGCGATGAAATTAGGTCACCATCGAACATTATCTCTCGTGAAGGGAGAATCACCGCTTGACGGAGCCAGATGAAATGTCTGTAAGTGACGTATGAGAGATCCGGCTTAATTCCCGCTATTCATGCGAAAATTTATCTTGCCGAGTGCTTAAGCGTAAGGAGATGCATTTCGGATCCGAATACATCGCTCGAAAGGAGGCAAAATAAAGGACGCGAATGGAGAGGAAGAACGCGAAAGGACCCGCAGTTAACCTCTCGACTTCGCTCCCTCCTTTCGTTCCGGGGATTTGTTGGTCCAGAAGGACCACTCGTACGTACATTCGCGAAACTCTCTGCCGAGCTCTCTCTCGACATATCCCTCCCTTCCTCCCACTTCCTACTGGCATCATCCGCAGTTCGCGTTTTTAAAGGGCGTACAAAGGCCACCGGAAATTGCTGCTGGCTCTTCCGACGTTACGGCCGTTTCTATATCTGTCCTTCTTTCCCATCTGCCGATCGTTTCTCTCTCTCTCTCTCTTTCTCTCTCTCTTTCTCTATCCTTTTTCTGCCTAGTTCACGTATATCTTTCTTTCTTCTCTTTTTATCCATCTTCCTCTTCTTCTACCATCAACGATTTCACGAGTAGGTACCTACCGAGGCGGCAAGAGTTCCGATAATGGCGGATTTGGATAGTGGCTCGACCGCTTCTGCTTCTACGGGGACGAGACGCGACGACGAATGATCGTCGGCTACGGGCTTGGCTTTAACGAAGTACGGTCGTAGCGGGGTATATCGTGCGAAACATCTGTCTCTCTCGAATTATTCGCTGTAGTAGGTAAGCGAGCGATAATAGACGGGAGTGGTCATCGGTTGGCTGTTTAATGCGTGATCCACTTTACGGACGCTGTGTTTCGTTCTTATTGTTCGTGATTTCCGGAATACACTGCACACCAATCAGGGAACGAATTTTACTGCTAATATAATGTCAGAATTAATTTTAGTTAAATATCTAATTATGAATAATTTATGTCATATTTATCAACTTTGATTAATTACTAATATCATAATTTCATGTGATACTCGTGTCATACTCTTCATATACATATATAACTTATTTACTCTATTTATTAAGAAAGAGTCTTGTTAAAAAATAAATCCTATCTTTGCTTATAACAAAAATTAAGTGATCCATGTGTAATTATAAATCATTTGAATGTGTGTTAAATTCACTCCATTAATAATTAGATGTTTAAATATTATTACGTGATTTTTCTGCACGGAATTGCATTATCTAATTCAAAATAACGATCATATTCGTCGTTGAAAAAGTTGAATCGCGTTTGTGAGTTACTAAGAGGGTAAAGTAAGAGTCTGCAAGACGCAGCGTGTTCCAGAGCTGCTGACTAGGCCGAAGTATTTACCTAGCGGCGAAGGGTGAAGATGGACGCGCACGAGGAAAGGAGAAGCAAGTGAAAGTTCGTAAGGAAAACTCCAACGAACCAGGCCGCGTTGCTTTTTGATGACTTCGGCGAACTTCGCCTCAGGACGATGAGGTCTAGGAAAGACTTCGAAACTCGAGCGTCGATATGGAAAGTGCGGGAGCCCGGATGTTATGGATTACGCGATCAATCTCGTGCGAAAATGGCGAAAAGTTCGCGGGCCGTGAAGCGCGAGAGAAAAAAAAAGTTTCACCGTTTGATTCGCCTGTTCCGACATTCCTGCATCCGCGCAATGCTTTGCGATCACTTTTACGTCTGCTATTGCGGCAAGATTGATTCCATGAATTCGTGATGTGCTCCACACAAGACGAATGATCTTTCGATAGACGTGTTACATTCGAAGAGATATCGACTTCTTTATACCTGGATATGTTCGTGTGCCATCTTAATAGAAAAGCTGAATACTACGAATGATTTAGATAGATAACTTTTTAGATATTTGCAACTTTCATGTTTCTGCAATGGCAAACTGTCGTTCTTTCTTCTTTAATTGAGATATGTTTACATGACATAAAAATATAGATGGCGAAGATAAAAGATCGCTTATGTCGACGTAGATCTAGTTTTCGTGAGCTAGTATTCGCGGACTTTATTCGCTAGCATAATCAATATTCATAGATGCCACGGTCATATTTTCGCATTAATTTAGTAAAATTTCGTGACGTAATCGCATGCGATCCATTACGTCACCTGATGTCGGCAATTTGAAGTCGATCGATCTTTCATAATTTACGGATGATCCTTGACTATTTACGACGAGACGTCCACTCATTTTCCATCAAACTCGTACGTGGCGCGACGACTTCAGCTCTCCATCCTATTTCCACATCTCTTTTGATGCGCGAGTTCTCACGTCACATGCATATCTTGGACAGATACCGCGCCTGATGCAATATTTTCGAAATTCTCCGATGGCCGACACGTGTTGTTCGTCTTTAACGCGGGCTTTTATCGCGAGACAATTATATATTGCGCGGAATCGTAATAAAATGTAATAATGCGAAGATACAAATGCGATGCAAGTAGATTTTAATGTTCTCAAGGGTGATATCGCGGAGGTTGAAGCAGTGCTCTCTCGAGAATACAGTGAAATCTGATCACGAATGATATCATCGCGATACGTATATCCGGGCCAGCGATATTATTCATACGCGGTATGCGTTTATAAAGAAGCTATACAGGCCAGGGTGGAGAGATGCGATCGCGTGGACGCTGGGGCAATTCTCCCCATGGCAACCCGCGGAAGAGGCCGGTATCCGAGTCTGCGATTAGCGACCCTTTCTAACTCGCAACCCTCGATATTCCCTCTACGAAGACTCTCTTGCTCGCTCCGTGACTCTTCAACATTCTCCGTATTACCTTTCCTTATTATCTTTCCTTTTTACTCGCCGATTCTTATTCTCCTTCTTTACCAAATGATTTTTCCTTTCATTCATTGTGGAGAAGTCTCGTTTGCGTTCTATTTTATTTTATTTTTTGTCACGATATTTTCGTTCTCGTCCTTTGATCCATCTAATCGCAGACTATGCTTCGAATTTATCGGTTTAACAATGGTTTTTTTATAGTTTCCTTGCCATTGTAAAAAAAGTCTTCTAACAAGAGAGTTAAATGTGAACGCAAATACTTGCGATCTTTTATATAATCAAGAAGGCTCATACAAAAGTAGATTGTTTCGTGATTGATCGATCTTGCGTAAGGAATGAAAAAGCGACCGAGTTTTAGGAGGGTTACCGATGGCATCAGCGCGCTGCCCTCTTCGTTGCGCTTGAGCTTTTATGCTCGAGCAGGCACACGCAATCAGCTAGTTATTTTGATAGCTAGAGAAAGAGAGAAAAAGAGAGTGAGAGAGAGAGCCGTGCCATCTGCGTTATTTCTTGGGGAGATAAAAGCATAGATGACCGTGTATACATATATGATTATGATTGCATCTTATTTGATATTCGAAGCTCATTTATTATTGCTAAAATTTCAAAACAATTATTTGCTCTTAAGTAAAGATCATTAATATTATGGCAAATATTAATTTATAACAACTTTATTAGTGTCGAACTAATTTAAGCTAATAACAATTTAAACAATATGGATGTTAGTCCACAGTAACGGCAAAAATGTGAGAAAGTGCAGCTGTGTACATATAAGCATTTGTGTGTGTATAATAATTCTTAAATGGCAACAACAGTCCAAAATAAGCGGTCCGTGAACAATATAAATGAGCATAAAGAAATCAATCTCTTAAAATAAAATTTTAATTAATACATTACATGCAAAAAGATATATGAAATGATAAAAATATTTAATAGAAATAATCATAAAAGTTTATCGAGAATTCACAAGACAGAAATGATGATTACTGTAGCAATTGATTTCATTGTACGGAAAAAACGCGTGTAGTCATGATGCGGCGTTTCAATATAGAGGAAGGAGGAAAATTACTAGATAGCGCACAATTGCGACGAGGGGTGGTTCGAAAGGATGAAGGGGAGAGCAGGCCAGGTGTATTAAAAGTCAGGCTGACTGTGCGAAGTACAATGACCTCGACTCATATCGATGTTTGATCTCTCGATGTTCATCTCTCTTACATTTATTTTATGAATAAGCAAGGCGTAAGTGCATAAATGCATAAATTTCCTGATCAGCATATCTCATATTAATTTTTG